GGGTCGCTACATTTCCGAAAAGTACTTATGGGCCCAAAACGGACACCGTTTGCAAAAGTTACGCTCATTTCTTCGAAGGTCGACACTCCAAGCATTCAAAATATGCGAGTTGTCGTTCTTCAAAAAAAGGATGAAAACCCTAATACATCATAAAAAAATCGCCCCCCCCCCGCCCCCAAACAAGTGAGCGTGCTTACAAGAAGCCATGTACATCTTCTTGGAAATATTGATCTTAACTATATCTAGTTTTACTCTCTCTAAACAGATGACAGTGACTCTTTCAGCTGGTTCTGAAATGTTCAAAGTATAATTAACAATGATATTCTCATATTTCAACATCCCAACAACTTCCTCTTGCTTTACATAGCCATTTATTTCTCCATCCATCCGTCTGTTTGTTTATCTATCCGTTGAGGAAGAAGAAAACTGCGACGTTCTTACATTCTCCCAACTTTTCGAGGTACCTCGACTAAGCAAGCATTTCATTTTATATTCTTGATGTTCCTTTTATATGTTTGCTGGGATTTTCTAGAGATATATTATGCTAGTTGTGATTTTCATTTTTTTCTTTAAAACTCAAGTAAGCAGAAGGGAAAATGGACGATAAAATGCGAGCTTCAAGAAGACAAACAAGCTGGAGTATGAGCAGGAGCAGGACTACTGGTAGAAGCCTAAGTAGGGCAAACTGGAACGTGGAGGATGTCTTTTCCGGCTCCACGAATAGGCGGAGCATTCGAGCCGACGAAGATGAAGAAGCTCTACGATGGGCTGCTCTAGAGAAGTTACCAACCTACGACAGATTACGAAAAACTGTACTAAAATATTTCGAAGAAACTGCCAATAAAGACAATAAGGTTGTGCACAAGGAGGTTGATGTAAGAAAACTTGACATGAATGATCGACAAGAATTCATTGATAGGCTTTTCAAGGTGGCTGAGGAAGATAATGAAAAGTTCTTGAGAAAGTTTAGGGATAGAGTTGACAGGTAACCTTTTCTACACCAATTTTTTATTTAATGTCACAAAATTGTACAGTAAATACATCATTTTGTTAAGCGACTAATTCATAATCAAACTTTCTCTCTCTGTCTCATGCAAATAGACAACGAAGGTTGACCAACTATACCCCTCTTACATCGAAAAATTAAAAGCAAATTTTGAGTTTTAAGTCATTTTTTAATTATGTTTTACGCATGATTATGAGTAGTTTTCATGAATATAATTAATTACTATATTTATCAAACAATTAATTGCATGAAAAGCAAGCAAACGAAAAAGAAAAACCAAAACAGCATCATTTCGTGGAGCTTATTTACTCTACACTGTATCAAGGAATCATTCTCAAGTAAAAGTTCAAAAACTGTATTATAATATAATTATTAATTAATCAAATCAGTAACGTATGTTATAATAATGTAATCAATGATAGCAAAAGTACAAGCAAACAATTAGTAAATAAATATAAGCTACTTGATATTCCTGTATGCTTGACTGAGTGATCTAATATATTTCCTATATAGATATTAATTGTTTTTCTTTATATACATACTGTAATTGCAGAGTTGGGATTACCCTTCCTACAGTAGAAGTGAGATATGAACACTTAACCGTCGAGGCAGATTGCTTTGTAGGCGACAGAGCTCTACCGACACTGCCAAACGCTGCTCGTAACATCGCTGAGACAGCATTAAGTTGTTTCGGCATCAGATTGGCTCAGAAAACAAAACTCACAATATTAAAAGATGCTTCTGGGATCATAAAACCATCAAGGTAAGGTTTTCAACAATCAAAACAAGCAATCTTAATTATAGCTACTGACTTTAATCCGAAAGTTACATAGCTAAAAATAAAATTCAAATACTATGTTCGATAATCTTGATGTATATCTATCGGTTACATTTCGTAGGATGACCCTTCTTTTAGGGCCACCTTCGTCCGGGAAAACAACCCTTTTGTTAGCTTTGGCAGGGAACTTAGACCCGACCCTCAAGGTTAGTCAAATTCATACCTACGTTATCCAAGAATGTTATTGATAGAGTAAGAACTCTAACTTGATTTTATGATGAAAATATTAATGTGGAGCAGACAAGGGGAGAAATCACATACAATGGGCATCAACTCAATGAATTTGTACCACAGAAGACATCAGCATACATTAGCCAAAATGATGTTCATGTAGGAGAAATGACAGTCAAAGAAACCCTAGATTTCTCTGCTAGATGTCAAGGGGTTGGATCCCGATATGGTAATACGATAAATTTCAAAATCATTATTATTATTTTTTTTAAATTTCATGGAAATAATTGTATTCTAACTATCAAAATTAAATTAGAACTTTTGACTGAACTGGCGAGAAGAGAGAGGGCTGCCGGTATCTTTCCTGAGGCGGAGGTTGATCTTTTTATGAAGGTAATGAAAAAATAAAATAATATTACGGACAATTTAAATTTAAATTTCCCTTTTTTGGTCGATTTTTCTAATGTTTTAACTTTGAGCTCCTTTTTTTTTTTTTCTTTTTTTTCTTTCTTTCTTTTTTTTTTTCTTTTTTTTTTTTTTCTCAGGCAACTGCAATGGAAGGAGTAGAGAGCAGTCTTATTACAGACTATACTCTTAGGGTAAGATTTAATTAAGTCTAGTTATTCATAAAAAAAAAAATTTTGGAATTAAGAGTGTGTTTGAGCTCCATTTTTATGGAAAAATGAATTTTAGAGTAGTAGATTGATGGTGGATGAAAAATAAGATTTTTTTATTTTATTTACGTGTAATATAATTTTAATGAAGAATGTATGATTAAAAAGAAGAGAAAGAAAAATGCATTTTGATAAAAATGAGAATCAAACGGGGTCTATGAGCTTGTTTGGGAGTGATTTTAAGAATTAATTTTTTGATCGTTAAGAGAAAAGTGAGGTCCACTTGTAAAAGAAGAAATCAAATATGACAATTGAAATAATAAAATAACGATCAAAAAATTAATTTTATGGGGACGAAAAAATCACTCCCCAACAAGCTCTAAGGAAGGTTTCCAATGTTTACCTAATCATCAACTCATGATTTTCTATTCTAATATATTGTGAGAACAGTACAAATATCATGTGCGCGTGTATTTTTTTTTTTTCATATATTTTCTTTTATTTAATATTCTTTCTTTTTTTGGGTCAAAAATTTCTCCTTACCTACTTTACAATGGGACCCATATTTCTGCTGGCTGGATATTGAGGGATTCACAAACCACATTTTCAAAATTTGGTCTGAATAGGCCCTACACAGTTTATGTATTTGGATTGGTGAACGGAACTCCCAATCAATTTCAAATACAAACATACATGAATATCTATATGCATACAAATGTACAGATATATTAATGATAATCTTTATTTTTATGTAATGTAGATATTGGGACTTGATGTGTGTCGAGATACTATTGTTGGAGATGAAATGATACGAGGAATTTCAGGAGGACAAAAGAAGCGTGTGACAACCGGTACTTAATTAAAATGATTTATGCTTCAATTAACTTGGAAAATAATTTTACAAAGTGACATAGAAAGGCACTACGAATATGTTGACCAAATCCTAAGGAAAATGTCATTTGTACATAACTATTCATTTCACAGAAGTTTGCTAGACAATCACATGCACAGACCTCTGATGTTATTAAAAAATTTGGCAGAAAATCACCCAGGCCCCACAAGTGTGAGTGATCTGTGGCTTTTCTGTGAGTTTTGGTTCTGTATAAGTAGCATGTCCCAAATCCTAATGTTAAATTACGTAACCTTATCTGCACAAAGATGACTGGAAACACAATCTGTAAGTGGCCACAATTGTAGAAAATCAGTTGTGCGATATCAACAAATTAACCATGATTCTTGAGTCGTGCCTGAAGGAGATTCCCAAAAAAAAAAAAAAAAAAAAAAAAAGAGTCCGTACTAGCATAACCCAAATGATGATCTGCCCTGGACTACATGTACTAGTTTTTATCTCAAACAAATCATTGGTACAATAAATTTTGCTACTTTACCTGAATGGTTGACATCCTCTCACATTTCGTGGGTCTTGCGTGAATAGAAAAGTTCAAAAAAAAAAGTGGGACCCCACCATTGTGGGAGTCAGTCACCTCACCTGTCAATAAAATTGGACACTGTATTGGGATTGTTGGTACAATTGAAGAAAAATAGAATGTATTTAAAGGCCAATGATTTGACTAAACTTCAAAAGACAAGGCTGCTAATAGAAAATACAGAAGGTCTATAGATTTGACACTCAGATAAAAAAGGCAATTTTGAACATATTAGTTGAACAAAGTATCATATATATAGCAAAATGTAACATGAAGTATGGCTATGCCTAAGGGCATATTGAAGTAGATTCTTTTTTTTTATCAATCTAGAAACATAAACATATATGTTAGGCTTTGAATCTTACACTTGTTGATACAGGTGAGATGATTGTTGGGCCAACCAAAACACTGTTTATGGATGAAATATCAACGGGCCTAGATAGCTCCACAACATTTCAGATAGTAAAGTGCTTGCAACAAGTTGTACACCTAACCGAAGCAACCATCTTGATGTCCCTCCTCCAGCCAGCTCCGGAGACGTTTGAACTCTTTGATGATATCATCCTCTTATCGGAAGGCCAGATTGTCTATCAAGGCCCACGAGAGCACGTCCTTGAGTTCTTCGAGAGCTGTGGATTCAAGTGTCCAGAGAGAAAGGGAACTGCCGATTTTCTGCAAGAGGTGACATCAAGAAAAGATCAGGAGCAATACTGGACAGACAGAATCAAACCATACAAATACATTCCAGTAAGCGAATTTGCAAAAAGATTCAAACGTTTCCATGTGGGTCTACGGCTTGAAAACGAACTATCAATCCCTTATGACAAGAGCCGAAGTCACAAAGCAGCTTTAGTGTTTAAAAAGTTCTTAGTTCCAAAAAGAGAACTTCTCAAAGCCAACTTTGACAAGGAATGGCTGTTGATCAAAAGAAATTCTTTCGTCTATGTATTCAAGACTGTCCAAATCATCATTGTGGCAATCATCACATCTACTGTCTTTTTGAGAACTCAGTTACACACTAGGAATGAAAATGATGGTGCGGTCTACATAGGTGCACTATTGTTTAGCATGGTAAGCAATACATTCAATGGTTTCGCAGAGCTCTCTCTCGCCATACAGAGACTTCCCGTCTTCTACAAGCAGAGGGATCTTCTTTTCCATCCACCTTGGACTTTCACTCTGCCAACAATTCTACTAAAAATACCTATATCCGTGATAGAGACTATTGTGTGGATGGTCATAACATACTACACCATTGGATTTGCCCCAGAAGCTAGCAGGTATTTAAACCATACACCTATGTTTTCTCACTTCTTACTTTCACTCAACTGACAAGACTTAATGATTATATGAAATTACATGGACTAACTTGAGTTCAAGTTAATGGACATAATTCCAAAACTACGAGAAGTATTGATTCGAACTGCCAAACCTAATTTTTTGACGGAGCTTAGCCATTATAAAGATTTCAAAAGTTATGTTAACGTAAAAGAGGATGCAACTTGCACTAGGTATGCATGTAATCAATCAGGTACCAAGGCCAAGGATATGTTACAGAATAATGGCTGCTGGGAAGAATATACTTTAGTATAATGTTGTCAATAGTCTGTCAACATCTCTTGGCGGCCTAACATGGAATGAGGTAATGTAAGCACAGGGAAGAAACAGTAGAACACACAGTTCAAGCATAATTTAGCAGGAACCTATACTAAAATCTTGTTCTAATTATACTTAACTTGTATTGCTCTCTAAAACAGATAATTTCTTACATGCAATGTAACTCTGAGCGAAACTGAAGTTTTTTTCCACGTTCTCAGGTTCTTCAAGCACCTATTATTGATCTTTATGATCCAGCAAATGGCAGGGGGAATATTTAGGCTCATTGCAGCGATATGCAGGACCATGATTATCTCAAACACTGGTGGTGCTCTTACCCTTCTGCTCGTGTTCCTTTTGGGTGGTTTCATCCTTCCAAGAGGTTAGTTCAAGCACTTCGAATTGCTGAACACATTTATAATCTTTATAATCTCGCAGAACAGTCAAATATAGCGTAAACAACAAAAGAAAGCAATAAGAAGTTAAATTATTTAATGCATTCCTATTGCAAAGAACATGAAAATAAAACTTCGAACTCGATAGTTTTAGTAGTCTTGCAGCTGCTTCTTTATTAACAGCAAGAATGTATTATGTATCAGACGATATATTTCTTTCTTTGTTTTTCTTTTTTTCTTCCAATAAATCAGTAATTTTACTCTAAAACTTTTAAACTTAATAAAGCCAGGAAGTTTTCAAAGTAAAACTGGGGGAAAAAGGTACTCTTAAAAGGACAACCAATCTCTCATTCGTACAAGGACAAAGGGGGTGTAACAAAACAACAAAAGAGCAAACAAAGGGATTTTGATACTCAGTATACATATTTAACAAGATACATGTTAAAAGGAAATTTTTTATCATGCAGAAAAAATTCCTGTCTGGTGGAGGTGGGGATACTGGGTTTCACCCCTGAGTTATGGTTACAATGCAATCGCAGTAAATGAAATGCTTGCTCCAAGATGGATGAACAAAACGGTAAAGACCTATACATTTCCTCCAACTTATTTTTCATTTGATCTTCTGACTTCTATGACAAGGCGTAGCAATGTGTCATACTCGGCATTCGACCAGCATTCCCGTCATGTTAAAAGGAATTTCATCTTTTCCCATTCGTATTATTTGGCTAACTCACCCATGGAGAAACAAAACTTAAGCTGATTAAATGTTTCCATACAGGCATCAGACAGTGTGACAAGATTGGGTGTGGCAGTGTTGAACAACTTTGATATCTTCCCTGAAAGAAACTGGTATTGGATAGGCGTAGGTGGCCTCATTGGGTTCACAATTCTCTTCAACGTTCTTTACACCTTTGCCCTCATGTACCTTAACCGTAAGTACCAACATTGCAATTAACATACAAAGCGAGCTTCTTGTTATCAAGCAACTAATATCTCTTTCTTCTGTTCTACACAATAGCTCTTGGAAAGCCACAAGCTATCATATCCAAAGAGATGGCAAGGGAGATGGAAACTGGCCATGAAGAAATAAATGAAGCACCAAGGCTTAGAATGACATCATCAAAGAAAGAATCTCTTCCTCGATCCTTATCTGCTGCTGATGGAAATAACACAAGTAATAATCATTAAATTCATCGATATCTCAAATGATTTTGGTTAGAATTATCAAATTTTCTCACACGTATTGTTCTCCATATTGTTATCTATCTAATTAGTGGAAATGGCAATGCAAAGGATGAGCAACCATTCCAATGCCAATGGACTATTTATAAATCAAGACTCAAACCTTGAGGCTGCAATAGGCGTTGCTCCAAAGAGAGGGATGGTTTTGCCATTCACACCTCTGGCCATGTCCTTTGACACTGTAAATTACTTTGTCGACATGCCTCCGGTAAGAATCAATATCCTTCTCATTCATGCTCAAATGTTGTCAACAAATAGCAGTCTTCATATGAAATCAGTAGCTAATATAACTATCTTTCAATACAAATTTCGGTGATTTGAACAGGAAATGAAGGAACAAGGAGTGACAGAGGATAAACTTCGATTACTTTGTGAAGTAACTGGTGCATTTAGGCCAGGAGTTCTGACTGCATTGATGGGAGTGAGTGGAGCCGGAAAAACCACGCTAATGGATGTTCTGGCCGGACGAAAGACTGGTGGTTACATTGACGGTGACATTGGAATATCTGGATTTCCAAAGATACAAGAAACATTTGCTAGAATTTCGGGATATTGTGAACAAAACGATATCCACTCACCTCAAGTAACCGTTCAAGAATCATTGATTTATTCTGCCTTTCTCCGGCTGCCTAAAGAAGTTAGCAAGGAAGAAAAGATGGTACATTTGTCTTTCCAGTACAATATTCCTAAAAATATATGATGCTGTAACTGTTTATGCACTAAACTAGACACTCATATGTACTCTTTGCAGACTTTTGTGGATGAAGTAATGGATCTGGTTGAACTAGACAATCTCAAAGACGCCATCGTGGGGATCCCCGGAGTTACTGGATTGTCAACAGAACAGAGAAAGAGATTGACCATTGCAGTTGAACTAGTTGCTAATCCTTCAATCATATTCATGGACGAACCAACTTCTGGCTTAGATGCACGAGCAGCGGCAATTGTCATGAGGACTGTGAGAAACACAGTGGACACAGGTAGAACTGTGGTTTGCACAATTCATCAGCCTAGCATCGATATATTTGAAGCTTTTGATGAGGTAAAATGAAAACTTTCACTTGATTATTCTCACAAACCCCCCTTAAATGATTTCCATGTCATTCCCTCTCTACCTCTTTGTTCACTAACGTTGTCTGTATCATATTACGAATCAGCTGCTTCTCATGAAAAGAGGAGGACAAGTGATATATGCTGGACCATTAGGCCAGCATTCACAAAAAATAATTGAATATTTTGAGGTACTTCATACTCATACTCGTAAATTTCTGCCACTTGAAAGAAAGCATATTAAAGATCTCCCACTCAATGCAGGCAATTCCAGGCGTCCCAAGGATTAAAGAGAAATATAATCCTGCAACATGGATGCTCGAAGTGAGCTCAGTGGCTACAGAAGCGAGACTTTCGATGGATTTTTCTGAACACTACAAGTCATCAACCCTATATCAGTGAGTAACAATGAATACCTCTACTAAATCTCTACAAGATTCACAAAAAATATTGATCTCATACATATATGCCCATTCCCAGGCGAAATAAGGCTCTAGTGAAAGAGTTGAGTACACCCCCTCCCGGGGCAAAAGACCTATATTTTCCTACGCAGTACTCTCAAGCCACATGGGGTCAATTCAAGTCCTGCCTCTGGAAGCAATGGTGGACTTACTGGAGAAGTCCTGATTATAATCTAGTCAGATACTTCTTCACTTTGGCTTGTGCACTCATGGTTGGGACAATTTTCTGGAGAGTTGGCACAAAAAGGTCATACTCTAAATCTTGGTTAATTAGGAATTTATTCGAAAGTATTCAGTAAAAAGACTTGAAGGCTAAGGTGTTGATTCCTCCTTTCTTATTTTGTGGCATCAGGGAAAGCAGTGCAGACCTTTTGACGGTCATCGGGGCCATGTATACTTCTGTGTTGTTTGTTGGAATCAATAACTGCTCAACAGTACAGCCGGTTGTAGCCATCGAGAGAACTGTATTCTATAGGGAAAGAGCTGCAGGAATGTACTCAGCGTTGCCATATGCCATTGCACAGGTGAAGATTTAATTTATTATTCAAATGATCTTCATCTTAACATGCTTTTCATGGCATGAGAGATCAACTTGTGACCTGTCAAAATGGAGAAGTACATTAAAGTTAAAAGGCTAAAACTATTTAATAATGGTTCGTTGGTTACATCACATGCAGGTCATTGTAGAAATACCTTATGTACTTGTTCAGACTACATATTATACTCTTATAGTGTATGCCATGGTGAGCTTTCAATGGACAGCTGCTAAATTCTTTTGGTTCTTCTTCGTGAACTTCTTTTCCTTTCTCTACTTCACATACTACGGAATGATGACTGTCTCCATCACGCCAAACCACCAAGTGGCAGCAATCTTTGCAGCAGCTTTTTATGCACTTTTCAATCTTTTCTCCGGTTTCTTTATCCCCAGACCGGTAAGTTATTTAAGTTAAAAGTAAAAAAGTTTAATAATCATCTCCAACTGAGCACAGTTTTGAAATTTTCCCCTCTTGAAATTTCAGAGCATTCCCAAGTGGTGGGTATGGTACTACTGGATTTGCCCAGTGGCATGGACAGTGTACGGACTTATTATAGGACAGTATGGCGATGTGGAGGAAACCATTAAAGTGCCTGGGATGTCCTTTGAACCTATGATTAAAAACTATATTCAAGATCACTTTGGTTATGATCCCAACTTTAAAGGACCAGTTGCTGCAGTTTTGGTTGGTTTCACAGTCTTCTTTGCGTTCTTGTATGCACATTGCATCAAGAAACTGAACTTCCAAATGAGGTAGAATGGATTGGTAAAAAAAAAAAAAATGTAAAATGTAAATATATTTTTCAGGCATCTCGTGGTATAACAAGAAAATGTTTGTAATGGGTTATATTAAGTTAATATCATAGGATAGAGTATGTTTCCTTCTCCATTCCCCAATTCATAAGGTCATACTTCTCTAATGGGGTGAATGTGTGTATTCCTAAGTTTTGAGAACTATATATATAGTTGAAATGTAATTATTTCTTGAATTTTGTAAACTTATATCTAAAAAGTTATCTTTATGGGGACGTAAAAGTTGTCATGTTATCTAGCTTACAGAAAGCTAATGTTTTAATTGAGATCATTAGTGATTATGATTCTAGAATCATGCTACAAGTATAAAATTTTTGACAGAAAAATCTTATAGACAACACATGGTGCTACACCATTCGAAGATGGGAAAAAAAAAGTCCACTTATGTTAGAATATACCAAAAAAAAGTCCATTTGAAGATTTGATCTAAATGTCCTGTTCTTTATGTTCTGCATTGTTATGTTTTATAGTAGTTGATCTATTGAATATTTTGGGGAAGAACTGCTTTGATATGGTCCCGAGACAACGACGACGATGTGGTAGTGGTGGGAAGAGGGGGTAGTTGGTAAGATGGTAGGTGGAAAAGAAAGAATTTTTTTATTTTGATTATTTATTTAGGATTCGTTTGCACTTTTAAATAAATAAATAAAAAAAAAATTGAGAGTACATTTGAAAATTGTTTTTTATTTTTCTTCTCTTATTATTATTATTATTTTTTTAACAGAGGTATATTCATCATTTTACAAGAATTTGTTAAGAAAATAGAAGAAATGGGGGTCTTCCTCATTTCATATGCGACATAGGGTGTTTTTGACCAATTTGAAAAGGTGTGGAGTATTTTTGACAATCGGTACATACGTTAAAGGGTATTGCGTCAATAAGCTTTTTTGAAATGATAAGTTAATAACTAGGGTTTGATGTAAATTCTTCGTAATAAGAATTGCACAAGCCACATACTGCATGAGCTGGCCCAGTTTTATTTGGGACATGATAAGGCTCAACATGGTTTTGTGGATGACACAATATTTTAACTTGCATCAATTTAATCTATATAAAATAAAATTTAATCCAATGTTTGACTACACTTGAAAAAAGATCAAATTATTTTTAATAACATTTTATTTCTTTACTTTTAAGTAAAACTAGTAGTAAATACTTGCGTTGCACGTCTTATGTATAAAATAAATGATATGAATAATATTTTTAAAGTTATAAATTACATACATAATGTAAAAATGTTGAATAAACTGCAATGTAATATTTTGTTAACTTATTTGTTTATGCTAGACATTTGTTGGATCATATTTCAACCATTATAGTTACATTGACTAGCTTTATGGTATAGACAGACATGAAGAAGAATAGAATTAAGAGATTTACATTTGACCAAGTTTAAAATTTTTACTTATAAATAAAGCAAATGTATATGAATGATTTTCAAAATAAAAAATTACTCATTTTGCTTGTAACATAAACTTTTTTACCTTAAAAAGTAAAAACAAAAAAAGTATCTTATCTAAATACATTTAGTAAAAAAAAAAAAAATTACATACTAATCATGATCGTCATATTAATCCATAGTATTTATTTTAAATTAAAACCAAACTTACATTCAAAATGGATATAAAAGTGAAAAATCTTCATTTTCTTTTTAATGGGATTAATACAAATGGAGGAATAAACATTTTTCTTTTAAATGTATCGAGATAAAAAAAAATTTCTTTTCTTTATATATTTATATTTAATAAGTAACTATATTACCATCAATTTTTATGTTTATACAAAAATGATCATGCAATAATAATAAAATATCCAATACTATATTAATTATTTTTTAGAACACTTAATATTAATTTTCATTAATAATTAAAAATTTTAGTGAAAAATGTGTAATTGAGATGCGAAGCTTGTATTTAGTGAGATCGATACAAATATGGGAAGGGTAACTCCCAATTATTTGGAGTATTTAGTGTGATTTTTAAGATTGATAGATAATATCTCCCATCTTCGACCCGTTCTTTCCTAATTGTTGATCACATTTAAGCAATTTTTTCTTTTCAATTTATTATCCTTTACATTTAAATAGTTATATTATCTATTACATTAATGAAACATGCAATTTGTAATCTTTTGAATGAAAATGTTGATAATGTAATGAAAGGACAAATTAGTAAATTGAACGTTTCTCGTCTATCTCCACATTTTATTTTTATATATATTGTAATCATAATATAATTATATAAGTAGATGAACGTCGATTTTAAGTGAAGCTCACATAAGCTCACATATATAAATAATAAATAATATAATATATATGCATGTACATATGAAATAATATTATAATATATTGAAGGTGACATTAATGATAGATTAATTACAATTTAACTTTATGTGTCTCTTTTTAAGTATATAGTTCATTTTCATATTGGAGTACTCATAATTTTATATTAATTAAATTAAGTTTAATCACTTAAAACCAAAACTTGTCTACATATATAATTATATTAAAACTATAATATATATTAATTTATATTGTAATTAATCTACCTTTATATTATTGCAACATTTAATATATTATATTATGTAATTATAATAAAATTACATCTATATGTGTGAGCTTCGATTTTAAGTAATAAACTTAATCTAAATAGTGTAATTTAAGTAATTGAACTAAATTTGATTAATGTAAAATTCTAAGTACTCCAATATAAAACAATAGTACTTAAATGGATTTTAAATGAAGTTATATTATATTAAATGGTACTGTATTAAATATAAGGGTAGAGTTGAAATATAACAAAATATATAAGGATAAAACTGGTATTCAAAAGTTTCTCCTCAATTCTCATTTTTAATATATTGTAGATGTAGATTTAACTTATTTATTGCTATTTCTTATTAATAAAAAGTTATTTAAAACTTATTTACTTAAAGCCAAATGAATGTAAAAAAATCTGGTGCCGCTATGTAGATCCACGAGTTTTATATATCCATCCCACTCTATATCTATCTCTATTAAAATGTTAAAAAAATTACTATTTTTATCCATGTCAAATTTTAATACTGTTCTTATTAAATTCATTTATCTAAACACTATAGATTCACATAAATTTTATATATTCATCTCACTTTAAATACTTCCCTAATATAAGGACACCAACAATGAATACACATTACAAAATAATCCAAATACAAATTAAGAATCATTCACATACTAAATTCATCAAATCCATAATAAAATGTAATCCTTACTTTTTTCAAATTCTTATTCATAAATTGTTATGTATGTATGTATGTATTTCCTCTAATGGTATCTCTTTCATTATTGTTCTGATTTCAGTTAAAGATGATATTTTATGATTATTAGGGTTTTATGACTTTAGTTGAAAATGATATTTTTTAATTATTGAAGTTTTACTTAAACACAAATTCTAAAAGAATATAAAAAATTTCAAAAGAGTTTAATGAAAATAAATATTGATGGATGAATTTACAACGATATATTTTTATTCAATTTTATATATAGGTCATGTTTGAGCCACATTCTTTGGAAAAGATATATTCTTAAACAGTGATTTGACATCATTTCAACCACTATAGATGGTAATATTGAAGTTTCATTTATCTGGTCAATCATATTCTTCGATAATTAACAATCTTGTGGAGACTGAAAACTTGTTCACCATTACATATGGTAATATTGAAGTTTCATTTATTTGGTTGATCCTATTCTTCGTTAATAAACAATCTTGTGGAGACTGAAAACTTGTTCACCATTACAGATGGTAATATTGAATTTTCATTTATTTGGTTGATCAAAACGCCTTTTCGACCTTTTATGACTGGCATCGGAGTATAAAGTTTTAAGTGATTTGGTTGATCAAAAGCTCATTTAATCGTTGTTGAAGCGAGAATAATTTACCTTGGACCATAAAAGCACAACATCTACCATAACTAGCCATTTCTATTGAGGAGTTTATATATGCCCTAAGCACTGGTGCAGTGCAGTGAAGCCTGTGATTTCTGGTCAGTAAAGTTGCATGTTGGAAAAGATAGAGAGTCTAATATTTGAGGTGAGCGAGACCTGTCAATCTGTTGGAAACTTTTAGTGCAGTACAAAACTATAGATTTTATTAATAAGTTGGAAGGATGAAATATATCACTTTAATAAATTAAACAAGAACAATGAATTAATTAAGATTCTATCATGTCTGGATGCTGAATATGGATGCCGAGACAATCAGGGGCGGAGCTAGGAATTTTGTCCAGTGCGGCAAAATTTAATCAAGGTCGAACTTTTCGGTTATGGATTTAATGATATTACGCCAATGCTAAAAATAACTTAGCGACAACACTAATAAAATAATCATCTTCTTCCTTATTTTAAGGATCTGTAGTAAGTTGTGCAACATCAAAGTCCATTTTATTCGATATCTCTGCATCAACATTTTCTATGAAATATTTTCTTTTAAAGAATCTTTACATTGACACATCACACTAAAATAAACCACAAGTGACAATTAAGTACTAATTGATAAAAGAAGAACTACTAATTTTTACAAATTGGTAGAACACCATAAAATCATCACTAATCGACAAAAATCAAAATTTCAAGAATCCATCACAAATATTACCAATATTCAACATTCACATAATCAAAATCCTTAATATTAAATAGAAAAATCACATGATAAAAAAAAATTTTGCTGCAAATTTGAGGGCCCAAGAAAATGTGAGTTTTAGGAAAGAAATGAATTTTGAAAATATTTCAAAACGAGGGCAGATTTAAAGAAATTTTTTAATTTCTTGCTAAGGGGAAAGAGTCAGAAAATGTCGTCGTGCACTTGGAGTTGGGATAAATTAGTATATGGGCTGGACTATAAATAAATGAAAAACATACTTAAAAAAAAAAAAAAAGGGAGGTGGGGGGATAAAAATTGAATTGATCATGGGCTTGGGCCAAAAGTCTAGTGCGGGCATTTGCCTGCACTGGACAGTACATGGCTCCGTCCATGGAGACCATGGATTCGGTGTAAAGACTTTTGGTCAGTTGAAGTATTTATGGAAATTCTTACGATTCATGTAGATGGACGATAGTTAGTCAAATTATCAAAAATAGTTACTCATGTTATTTTTTCTTTGATATTCAACATATTTATGTTCTTGAGGGAAGCGAGGAAACCAATTTCTTTCGGCATGAAGTCATGGTCTAGTACAAACCAACACAACACT